CACACACACACACACACACACACACACACACACACACACACACACACACACACACACACACACACACACACACACACACACACACACATAGACACACACATAAGCATATAAAATAAAAAAAGCTTAATAACCTAATAACAAATATTAACAACTGAAAATAAGAATTAAAAATAAAAATAAAAAATAAAAAATAAAAATAAGATAATAAATATTAATAACTAAAAAAAAAAAAATAAGAAAATAATAAAATAATAAAATAATAAAATAATAGAGTTTTATAATAAATTCGAAATTCAAAATCAAAAATTAAAATAAATAAATAATAATAATAAACTGGTTTTTTAATAATAATCATAAAATAATAAAATAATAATAAAATAATTAAATAATAAACTAATAACATAATCAATTATGAAAGTTGTTGTGTGTTTAATTGGTATTATTAGAAAACCGATGTTGGGGATTTGGTAGATTTTTTTGTTGCGGATTTTTTAGGAATTGAGGATTTTGTAGTGTTTTCTCTTTTAGAGGACAGTGGTTTTCTACAAGGGAAGGGCTCCACCCGACAAAGCGGGATTTGAGACCTTGCGACCCCTGAATTTGCAGCTCCTTGACATTGTATTTCTGCCTTGGGCACTCGGCCCTAATAAAACTACTCTTTCTTTGGAAAAATAAAATATGAAAATATAAAAATAATAAAATAAAATAATAAAATAAAATAAAATAATTAATAATTAAACGAAAATAATAATAATAATTAGAATAAATAAATAAAAAAATAAGAAAAAAAATCCAAAAAATAAAATAAAATCGAATAAGAATATATAAATAAATAAAAATGATAAAATATGGTAACTAAAAGCAAAAATAAATATTGAATTAAAATACATATTCTTTCGCAAAACCGCATAGTATAGATTAAGCAAGGCAAGAACGTATCAAGAATATGGATATTCAATTCTCGCAAAGCAAAAAGGTTTTGGGAACTATATACTTATTACCCAATTGTGTAAATATACTGCAGAAAAACAAATTAATTACAGATGTCGACTACCAGTAATGAAGCAACTGTGCTACGAGTTATACCTCACAAAAAACACCTCAGAACCCCCCAAGAATAACGCATAACACACCACTAAGTACACTTACAGATAAAACAACATACTGGACGAAAAACATGGCACGGTTCACATTGAGAAAAACCAATTAGAATTGAAGAATAACACAACACGCCTGTATCACCCATTGTCAAATTTTTATTAAAACACCCCTTAAAAAACCATACACAGCAAACCACTGAACACTGACCTACACATAAGAACCTAATACACATACACCCCCACTCGTACATCGATACGACCACCCGCAAGTACAAACCCCTGATGAAGACAATACCACCCAGCCGAGGGCGCTACATAAGGCAAACATTTCTTTCAAGAAAAACTAAGGGACATGAATAATAATAAAAACCCGAACACATGCATAGACACGAAAATGAAGAAAAGCAAGTAGATACGACATTAAAAAATGAAACGGCAAAGCAACAACCTGCAAAGAAAGACAAAAAAAAAAAAAAAAACTCGTGAAGCATCCCCATGAAGATCGGCATCTGAAAACCTTGACAAAAAAAATCGACAAAATAAATATGCCACTTTTTTTAAACAGCTAACTAGACTGCAACCCATCCAAAATACCGACCACCACCGAGCTCTGAAGTTGATCGGCACGAAAGAAGAAGACAATAACATTACGCGGGAACTGCAAAGCGAAACAAATATGCCACTAAAGTTCAAAACTATAATCGCCCCACCTACGGCCAGACCCCGTAAATTGTACTACAACCAATCACATACAGGCATAACCTGTACACCTACACAAACCCCTAAAACCTACCAAATATGCCCTGTTTTACCGAACCAAAACGAATATCGTCTTTCGACGACCTAATTTTTTAATTAAAATAATTTTAAAAACCCCAATAACGATTAAGCTATCCTATACACACGAACGCCACTATACCCATTACAAACCTCACATAACAAGATGGAACGAAGCCTGCTTGCATTACTATCTACAACAGCTTGCGTATGACTATACTACAGAGCATTTCGACTCATACTTGCTACGCACGCGAAAACTTCCTCATCCCACCATTTTCTCCCACATGCCTCTCCTCATTTCCCCCATACTACGCAACCAGGCGAGCTAACCGTCTGTCTGCGGCGGGCAAGGCACCTTCTTGGGCCGGCCAATCTATGCTTCAACCACTGGAGCTCCTGATCCATTGCTATGCCGAAGCTCGACCGCTATGGCAGCTACGACAGCAACTGAATATGCCGCTTCTCCAGACATAAGACCGCCGGTACGGATCCTGTGTACCCTTACCCCTAATCGCCCATATTGTGTATTCCCACGACCCCATGACTACAACTTCCTACCACCCTTTGTGCTAATTGGAGCCTTGCTAACGATTAATCCCTCTGATGAGATGTTATCAGTGCTAAGCGGCGAAAAACGCGCTTCAGGGCGTGCACCCCCCCTATGGTTGGGTCCTCATACCCATTCCTAACCACTGCTAACCTACTAACTCTAACTTTGTTAACCTGCTCCCTATCTTATTTGTGCCTTGATGTATCCTGTACGTAAATACCCCCCTTCCCCCCTTGCCTAACATTGGACGTAACGACAATGTCTAGTGTCCCATTCTGAATGGGATGGTCGTGTTTTATACACACACCCCCTACACACATTCCCGGATCATGGATCCAGTTACCAAGCATGAAGTAGAATCCCCAGCTCGCTAGACCACGTCAACGTCCTCACTTACCTTCCCTCATGCATTAACTCTTGTGCAGGATGATCGGCTTGAATTAAGAAAACCCTCCTCCTCCCCCTCCCCCTCCCCCCTCCCCCTTCCCCCTACTGCTGCTATGCATCCAACTTTCGTTAATCACAATGCTGCCATGCGCACTCACTTTCAGATTCCCAATAGCAATGCTACTACACTTTTGTGCGATAAAACATGGTTCCACATAAGCATGTCATCTTAGGAGCTGCGTTAATATCTGCGGCACAATATGCATCATCTCACGCTAGTTAATCAACTCCCGAAATTCCCTTCAGTCCTTCCACGCCCCATCCCCACCCCGCTACAGCTTGTATACACGTTATCTTCTTACATTCACATTGCTAATATACACGGTTACTCGCAAATCCCATAGTATGATGCTGCTAGTCACTACTCCACATAATCGCGACCCTTCTAGCAACTACGAATACACAATGCACTTACCCACCAACTCTCGAACAATACCTCCTACACCCCGAACAATACTCCCTACACTACGATTACACCGTCTCACATAAGTAGCCCGCAGTAAACAAATATACTCACGCTATCTCTAACCCTTAGTAAATCCCTACCCCAATTTCCCCCCCTATAACACATGCTCTAGCTCCCCGCTTCATACCCACCATATACTATGATAAAACCCCTTATGATAGTGCGCGATTATACAAGGTGTTTTCAATTCACAACGATACACGGGGTGCTTTTTGCTCTTGTATATATTAATGTCAGAGGGTATTGATCATAAGATTCATAAGGAGCTAGTATAACATAATCATAAATGCTCATAGTAAATTCGATCTTTAATGGGTAACATGTTGGCTACTAAATTTTATGTGCGTGAAACTCTAGGAATCTTTAGCAATCATCATTTTTTTTACGTAATACAGTAATTATCACGCATTTTTCCACACATTGTTTCACACATTTTTCACGCATTTCACACATTTTTTCACGCATTTTTCACGCATTTTTCACGAATTTTCCACGTATTTTTTATGCATTTTTTCACTCTTTTTCACGCATTCATTCACGCATTTCCACTCATTGTTTTCACGTATTTTTCATGCATTCTTTCACTTTTTTTTTCACACGCTTTTTACTCACTTCCCTTCCCTCTCCTTCTAAACCGCATCGATAACTACATTTACATGCTCGAAAATCCATAACAACCGCAATACT